TTGACTTTTCCCAACTGCTTTTTCTGAAACTATTGATCATATGGCTGTGTTCCTTTCTGTTAATAGCATTTAGTGCAGTGAATGACATTGATTGATGCTCAAAGGTTAAGCCAACCTTGCATTGAGGAGATAAGATGTGGTCATGATGTATGATCCATTTCACAACGTAATGAATTTGATTCATTAATATTTTGTTAATGACTTTTACATTTAATTTCTCAAGGGGCATAGGCCTCAAGAGTAGTTTTCTTGTAAGCTCTCTATCTGATTTTGATATATGGGTATTACTGGTCTGATAAAGAGCATGGGGAAGTTTTCTCCATTCTTTTTGTGAGGATGTTTGTATACAATTGTCATGCTGTCAAACACGAAGGTTTATTAAGTTTAGCTGAGAGGCCTTCTGAGCATGGGGTTTCTTTTAGGAAGATGTTTTACTTTATGACTCCAGAGCCTTAAATTGACAGGAACCATTTTGGGTTTTCTGTTTCTGCTTGATTACATTTGGGAGTTTGTGTCTTCCAAACCTAAATTGTTGAATGTATTTGCAAAAAAATTGCTCACACTTTTCCTTCCTATCCTTTTACTGTCTGTAAGATTTGTACCAATACTTGTTTTCATTCCTTATATTGGCAATTTATTTCTCCTTTTTTTCTTGCTCAACCTAACTGAGAGGATTGTCACCTTTATTTAAAATTTTCAAGAAGTAAGTTTCAGGGTTTCATTTTCAATTTAAGAATGGCCCCATACCACCCTCCTTATTAATTTGCTCTTCCTTTCTGTCCAGCTCTTGCCTCCAAGGCACGCAGTCTTTTTTCTTGCATCTTTACCCATCCCAACACACTTACCCATGATCTGGCACGGCCCAGTTCACCTTTGAGGTATCTGGGCTTGTTTCTTTTACTAAACCCGAGCATGTAGAGGATGACATCGTGTCTCCTCCTTCTCAATTGCCATAGCCCCTCAATTGTCAGTGAGTGACAGTGAGGTGAGGGAGGGGACACTGCTCCCAGCAGTACCCTGAATGGAAGGCAGTTCTGCATTCATATTCTTCACCCAGCTGCTCAGAGCCTTGTTTATGACAACAGCACACTCTTAGGATTATCACAGTCAGAGTGGACAGGTTACCAGTGTACTGTTGCTTAGTAAGAGGTAACCACTGAAAGACCTTTCATTGTAGCCTGAAAAGTTGGTTGTATGCCTAGAAAATAAATATTTTGCTTTTAGCTCCTTGCTCATTACTAATTTTTGTAGTAATCTTCCAAGGTAAGGACTGAAAAATGCTCTCAGAAGGCAAAGTCTTACAGGGAAATAGTACATTGCTTCTCATTATTTTGGTGGGAAAAAAGCTTGAAAATCTGGTGTCTTTTGCCTTATCAGCTAGCTTTATGGTTTTATTAAAATATTCTAATTTTACCAAGCTCAGGAGGGCTTTTTTTTCCCCCTCTTAATCATTAGGAGGAAAGGCAGTAATACTCAATTTCACAAAACCTTTTCTGTGCTTGATTTTCATAAATTAGCTATTTCCTCCATAATGTTACCTTTCTCTGGGTTCTCTACGGAGTAAAGAAATAGTCAATTCCAAGAAATTAGAAAGTGACTATTTCTTTTTTGTTATATGTCTGTCTCTCGACCGTGACCTATCTCTCTGTATTTTTTTGTTCATTTCCCAGGTGCCTTCTCCTACATCACTCTCTGGAGGTGACTTTAAGTTTACTTTAAGAAAACAAAAACAACCAGAGTGACATTTGTTGTTGCTTCACAAGTCTGCCTTTTCAGGGCCGTTGTGAGTCCTACAGCTGAGAAAGGGGCTGTGTTCATGATAGATGCTGGGGTTGGCTTGTTTGTTCCCTTGCTTGTTTGTTCCTCATCATTACTGAGCTCTCTGCCAGCACAGAGTCTGGCACTCAGAGGACAGCTAGGAGTGGCTGAAAGTGTCACATGAGCCAGAGCAGCTACATTCAGAGACTGATGAGTGGGCAAGAGAAAGGTGGCCAAAGAAGAAAGTCCTGACTCATGTTGAAACAGGGATACACCTCAAGAACATTTTGCTGACTGAAATAAGACATTCATAAAGGACAAATACTGTCTTATTCCACTCACTTGAGGATCATACAGTGGTTGAATCCGTAAAGACTGACAGTAGGAAGTTGCCAGGAATGGGAGAACCTGGAAGTAGAGAGTTGGTGGCTACTGTGTTCAGAGGTTCTGTTTTTCTGCAAATGGATGATGTTTTATCAACAGTGTGTGTATGCTTCAGTGCTGCAGAGCTGTAGTCTTAAAAATAATTACAGTGGTAACTTTTGTTGGGTATATTTTCCCACAATAAAAATGTAAAAATAAAAAAAAAGTGATGGGACTACAGCTCATTTCTTCTGGTTCTAAGCTGTAAGGTTGCAGAGGGAGAAAGGAATTCATGTAATGAATGCCCCTTGTTTTGCCAGCATGCTTTCTCACTACAGTCAGTAAGATCATATTAACTACTGTCCCCATTTAACAGTTGAGAAGCAGGGCTGAGCATGGTGAGATGAGGTGCCTGAGATCTCACAGAACCACAATGGCAAACCGGGTTTTACTGGCGACCATACCTGCTGTTCTTGCACCATACCAGGCTGCTCAGAAGCTGCTTTCCTATCCTTGTGCCCTTTCTATGGCACCATGACAACATAAAACCTGTTTCATTTAGTTTAAAATACTTCTGTAGCTGTGACCACCTCCTCTTTGGAGAAAAGTAGGCCAATAAAAGCAATCACCCCAGGCTGAGTGCATCCTGCCAGGCAGGCCCAATGCAGTGTGACTCTGGAAGCTTAGGGAGGAGGGCAGAAGGCAGGGGCTCAGCCTTTCTAGCTTTGTGGAAACATGGCTTCCCATTGCACTGGCCAAGTGAGAGTGAGCACTCACTCCTGCATCTTAGCACTTACTTGGAGGCTCCAGCTGGCACTCTTAGTGCCAGATCTGCTACTCTGAGCTCACACACTGTGCCCCAATCTCTGTCCTCAATGTTGTTTCTGGAAAATGCTTCTATTCCAGCCATTAGTGACCAACTGATTGCCAGATATGGTGGATGCTTTCTCAGATCTAAGTGGACATGTGGCAGCGGGTGTCATGGGCCCAACCCCTTGATACTCAGCTCCTTGGATTTCCATGGTATCATCCTTTCAAGCTTGTTGCCTGTGCTTTTGATGCCATGTCTGTGAAACCACTGCCTGATCCAAGGTCATGAAGATTTATCCCTATGTTTTTCTCTAAGAATTTTATCTGCAATTTTTTTTATGTGGGGGCCCATATAGTAAATATTTCAGGCTTTGCCAGCCATGTAGAGCCTCTGTTGCATATCCTTCTGTGTTTTATTCTGTTTTGACTTATCCCGTTTACAAAATGTAAAAGCTGCTCTTAGCTCCCAGCCATACAAATACAGCCAGTGATCAGTTGGTCCAAAGGCCACAGTTGCTGAGGCCCATTTGGAAATGAAGGTTGCCTCATTTAGTCAGGAGCTAACTGGGCTGGGATTTATTGTTTCCATGGTTATTCTGGGTGCCCCACAGGCTCCTATTCCTCCAGAGTTGCCTGTGCTTGTGGGGAGGATGCTGAGGTAAGTGGGCACTGCAAGATGCAGCTTTTCCTGTAATGTTTGTCCTCCCCACTGAGTTCTCCCTCCCTGTGAATAGCACCACAGGTAGATCTGTCCACATCTGTTTTATGTCAAGGCTTGTGGCAGGGCTTTCCTGTTGTCCTAGCCTCTCCTTAGTCTCGGTTGAAGCTGTGTATGTAGGCCCTGCCCTGGGGCACTCTCAGCACTTTTGCCTCTGTCTCTGCCCATCCTGTGGTGGGTGCTGGGCGTGAACTTCCAGGGCAGCGGTGTGGAGTCCGGCTCAGGACCCTCTCTTGTCCTTCCCACTAGAACAGGGCTTTGCCTGTGTAAACCTTGTCTGGTTCCCTGCAGCTTGCCCACGCTGTTGGCCTATACTGGCTGTCCTGCATTGCCCTAAGGTTTCACTTCACAGGAAAGTAGGGTTGGGTGTTTTCCCTTTCCTGTGGTGGCAGCCGACTGCTTCCTCCATGCCTGCATCACGCAGGGAGGCCGTGTCTGCTCTCCTGTCCACTCACCATCCTTTGTGAGAGCACCCAGGAGAGACTCCTAGAGAAGAGCCTGGAAGAAGTGAACACTTCCCCCCTGTCTGGGCTCCTGCACGGGGGTCTTCGCTGTCATTTAAAACCCTACTCAGCCTTTAACAATTCACTACCTTTGTGCTGATCACTTCCTGCCCACTTGGGTGGTGTATGGCACCTCTTTACCTTGGGTTCTGCTGTTGGTGGGGTGGTGTCATACCTATCCTTCCTGGAAAGGCTTCTATTGCCCTGTGACCTCTGTGTTTAAGAAGCATGGTGAGGCCAGGTGCCTATGACTCATGCCTGTAATCTTAGCTACTTGGGAGGCTGAGATCAGGAGGATTGTGGTTCAAGGCCAGCCTGGGCAAATACTTCACAAGACCGTATCTCCAAAATAATCAGAGAAAAATGGACTGGAGGTGTGGCTCAAGTGATTGAGTGCCTGCTTTGCAAGTGTGAAGCCCTGAGTTCAAACCTCAGTCCCACTCAAAATAAACAAAAAGCATGGTAAGTGTGAGTCTGTTGAGTAGTTTTTACTCACCGTAGCCTAGGAATAAAGCTCACATGCATCTCCCTGATGGAAACTCACCCTTCCCCACCCACTACCTGATATGTGTGTACTCACTGTGGTGTTTTTTCTTTCTAAAGAGGTGCCTCCATCCACAGAGTAAATGATGGAACCCCTTCCATTTGTACATCCAGCCTGAGTATTGTGCAGGCATTGGGTGTCATAGAAAAGACAGTGTCAAGTGCCAGAGTGGGAGTTGTCCGGGGTTTATAATTTCACCTGCTGGAATGGTCTTTAGACTCTTCCTAAGTCCAGCCCACCTCATGATAAGAAGCCTTCACCAACTTGGGAGTGCTGACTTATGCCTTGTGATGTTTCTTTTTAGACTCTGGAAGCTGTCCTGAATTTCAAGTACTCTGGAGGCCCAGGCCACATTGAAGGGTATTACAGGAACCTCTCACTGGGACTGCACGTGGAAGTTGAGCCATCTGTATTTTTCACCCGAGTCAGCACTCTCCCCGCAACCAGGTAACCAGGCTATTGCACTGCAAATCTGACGGTACTGCATTCATTTCTGTCCCATCCTATGGGATTTACACCTCAAGGCAGGATGCTTAGGGCTGAGGCTCTTCATTAGCAGGCAGGTGTTTCACAGGAACAGCCTCTTAGGTGTTGGTGTGGGAGTGGGATGCTGGACTTCTCATGTGTGATCCTCCTGGTACAGGCACCTTTCTCTGGTCTGACTTGCCTCTCCTCTTAGAAGGAGCTTGGCAGAGAGCTGCATGTCCTGGAGGAGCCCAGCATCTCTCTGTGTGCTGCTCCTGTGTGTTAGTACCCAGCTGTTTGAACAGTGCTGTGAACACCGAGCCTTGACAGGTCATTCTGCATGGGGAGCACTCCTTGCACGACAGTTCTCTCTGCACCTGACACTTATGGGCCCAATTTCCCTTCACGGGAAAGAAACAAGCTGGCTTGTGAACTTCAAAGTCAGCCATGTCAAGAGATGCTGGGGTATTCTTCTTCTCTCAGATGGGAGGGTGATAGTTCTCACCCCACAATTTGACCTGTGGTGAAGTGAAAGCAGTAAGCTCTGAGTGGAGCCCCAGATGCTTGCAGCTGCCCGATATGTGCAGCTTCTCAGAGCCCATGCCAACCACCACTGAGCTTGACGTCATTCTCGAGCCCAGAAATGCCTCACACTTATGTGGGGAGGGTGGCTGGGTCAGTAGTATTTATTCTTAATAGAGTTAAGCAGCAGCAATGACAAATGTCTAGCTATCTATCCTTGAACATGAGGCAGGCTGGAGGAGAGCATTGTAAGGAGTGCTCCTCTCTGCCACCTTCCCTGTAGAATACACAGTGTAGAATAGAGCTATGTTCTTGCTCATGATAACGGTGACATAAAAATCTATTTAAAGTGATATAGCGTCAAATAATAAGTGTGGTTTTGCTTTATAGGAAAGACTATTTTTCTTCCCAGCCATTGGTGAATGGCTTCAGCAAGAATTAATGGCTTAGCTGGGCCTTTTAGCATCACATTTCATCATGTATCACTTTTTAAGTCCTTGGAGTAATAATCTTGCAGTCAAGGCTTGCCTCTGTTTCAAATTTGTATAAACCATTAAAGTGCTTATCTCTGTGGAAGATTTGACCAAGATGCTGCTAGATGATGTTAGAGCATGCTGGGCCCCTTTTTGCATCAGATCTGCTCCATCACAAGCCCACAGTCTTTCTTTCTTCCCTCTTGGATCCTGCTACTTTTGCTGCTGTAACTGATTCTCAGAAGCAGTGAACTCTTTTTATTCCCCACTGAGAACTGGCTCCCACGTCATAACCCCTGCAGCTCCAAATGACAATTTAAGGTGAGAAAAATGCTGCCACGTGTCAACACAAAGCAGATTTGCAAGAGTTGGTTATTAGCTGAGTGTAGTTGGGTCCTCACCTCTGCCCATGGCCCTGGTTTTCTTTTCTTTTGACCTATGCGTTTCTGATCCCTACTCTTGGGGTTGAGAGCTGGCTTTTATGCTTCCTTTTCTGTTGTCTCAAAATATAATTGGTCACCAAGTCCTCCACATTCAATCTCTAGCAATGTCTCCTGACTACCCTGTGCGTTCTGCTGCGTTCTCGTCACTGTGGAAAGAGTTGCCCAGTTTCCCCCTGCCTCCAGTTCTGCTTTGTCTCATTCTTTAAATACAGTGTTCTTCTGTCCTCCCAATCCTACACACTCTCTTGGTATTTATGAAACAAAGTCCAGATCCTTCCTGTGCTATGCAAGGTGTTTAACCTCCAACCAGACCTTCCTCTTGGCATTGTTGCTGCCCTCACCTTCTGTGCACTCTGAAAGCACCACTCTACTCCTTGCATCACTAGCATGTGTCAAGCAGCTCGCTCTCTGGGGCTTCCACTGCATCTTTTTTCTAAAAACTTCTTTTTCTCAAACTATCATTCTTTCATTTAACCTTTTGGAAAATACCTCTTTGCCCTTGAGGTCTGTGTTACCATTCTTACAGAATTTTCCTAAGCATGACTCCACAGAGTGGACTTTTTTCTCTGGGGGCTCCCTGTGCCTTCCTCATACTTCTAATAAAGCACTCACCAGACTGTGGGAATATGTTCATTTGTGCTTTAAGCTGACACCTTCCAAGTTCCATGTGCTGTATTAAGTGCTCACTGGGGTAAGAGGTGGACAGAGCAAGTCCTTGTTTCTCAGCAGTCAGATACAAGCTCATCAGGAAGAAGTAGGATGAAGTGAACACGTGAATCTACACGCAGGAGTGATGAACCCAATTAATAGTAAACAAATGAAAAAATATATTTGTTCCCCCATTTCCTAATTTCTTTAAAAGGCTATTGGTTGATTAAAGAATAAATAATAACATTTAATTCTGTCTTATATAGTATATATACAAGTAAAATATGTAACAAAGAAATGGCACAAAGAATAGGTGGGGAAATAGAAGTTCTTATGTTATACAGAAGTATTACAATGCTATGTGATATTAGAGTGAAGTAAACCAAAGATGCTCACCTTGTAAACTTTATTACAATATGTTATAAACTCAAAAAAACCATTTAAGATATGAATAATAAGCCAGAAGTGATAAAATGAAATATTAAAAATACTTAATCCAACCAAAAAAGAAGAGGTATCAAGAAAGTTGGAGAGAAGAATACAGAGCCTGTGGTCAAACAGAAAACGAGTAGCAGCATAGTAGACTTCAGCCTGTTGTATCAGGATTGCACTAAGTATGAGTAGATTAAACTCTACATTTAAAAGACTGCAACACAGTAATATGCCAACTATAAGCTTCCTACAGGAAATTGACATAGTATAAAAGTAAAGATGGGGTAAAAACTTATTATACAAACACCAATATTGAGAAAGTTGGTGTGAATGTGTTAATATTAAACAAGTACACTTTCAAGAGAAAAAGAGATAGAACAATTTGTAATGATAGAAGGATCAAGTTATTGAGGGTCCTAAAAACAAATGTATTTAAAAAATAAGTTCAAAATGAAGCTGATATGCTAAAGGAAAAAATAGACAAATGAACATTATAATTCGATAATTCAACATCTTTCTTTCAAGTATTTGATAGAAAAAGTAGATAGAATAACACACACACACACACATGCACACACACACACACACACACATGCACACATCCAGACCAGGAAAACTGTAGCAAACTTAGGTAGTTCTGTTAGCCAACTCTACTTAAATGCTTGTATCAGAGAATCTGAGTGGTGTAAAATCAGTGACATAGCTTCTGTCACTGATTTTAGGTAAAATAGAGCAAGCTATGCCCAGAGCAAACAGACGAGATTATGGAGAGAAGAGCAGGTATCAATGAAACAGAGACTGGCAGTAGGCTCTTTCAGATGGTTAATGATAAATTAATAAATTGTAACCAGGAAAATCAGGAAAACATGAGAAAACACAAATTACCAAAAGTGGAATGAAAGAGGTTACATTCCTGTGGGTTCTGCTGTGGTTGAAAGTATAACAAGAGGATATTGTGAAAAATTGTATTACAATAAATTTGACAACGCAGATGAAATAAACCAAAGTTTTGAAAGAGACAGAGTACTAAAACTGACACAAGAAGAAGCTGAGCACATGAATTGTCAGACATGAATTAAAGAATTTAAGATCTTAATTAAAATCTTCCCATGATACAAACTGTAGGCCCAGATGGCTTTACTGTCAAGTACATCATGATTTTAAGAAAAAAATCATATCACCTTTACAAACTCTTTTAAGCCAGCATGATGGTGCTTGTCTGTAATCTTAGCACACAGGAGGCAGGAGATCAAGAGGTCAAGATCATCTTGGTTGGCTATGTGGTGAGACTGTCTCAAAAAGCAAAACAAAGTGAAAAAACAAAAACAGCCTAAAAGAAGGTGAATAAACAAGCAAGGAGGAATCCTTCTCAACAATTTCATGATGCTAGCATTACATTTCTGTCAAACCCACACAGAAACATCACAGGAAAAGAAAACTTTATTACAGCAGCCTCATGTGTGCAAATTAAAACTAGGAAAACACAATATTAGTCAAGTCCTCTTCAGCAGTGTGTGAAAGGCATGCATAATATAGCAAAACCATCCATGCTCAACTCAGAAGTATAAGGTGTTTTGTTGTGGTTTTGTTTTACCATTGGAAAACCAGTCATTGGAATTTACCACATTAGCAAAATAAGTGAGAAATAATCAAGTTGGTTGCAGAACAGTTTGACAAAATTCAACACTTACTGAACTAGACACTCCATAAACTAGGGTTAGAAGAGAATTCCTCAGTTTGAGAAAGGCAACATGCAGAAACCCCACAGTAATGTCACACATCAGCGGTGAGTCTGATCACTCTTTTCTATAACAACTAAGGTTGTTGTTTTTTGGCTGTCCTACCCAGAGAAATGTAGCAATTTAATTTCTAGAAGTTTATTCAAGAGAATATAAATCTATGTCCACAAAATGACTCCTATAAGAATCTTCCTAACAGCTTCATTCTTACTACCTCCAGCGTGGAAGCAGGCGAGTGCTTAAATAAAATAACTTGTAGTACATCCATACAGGGAAACTACTTGGAAATAACTCCTGGGACAGGAACCGGCATGATGCTGGCTGAAGAAATCTCATTCCAGAAGAACACGCTTAGTCTCTCCATTTACTCAGATGTCTAAAACAGTAAAACCCCCTTTATGGGTAAAGCCACATGATCAGGGTTGACTATGGGTTAAGATGGGTTGGACAGGGACTGATTGGGAAGGAGTCAGGGTTACAAACTAATCTGGTTTGCCTGGGATTTTCTAGACTTTAGCCCTGAGGCTTCTTCACTCTGCAAAAGCCCTCAGTCTTGGGCAGACCAGGACAGTTGGTCACCTAGAAGGAAACAAGGCTTTCTACCTTGATGAGGTCTTGGTAGGGGTGTGGGTTCCAGGGTTGTGACCCAGTGTTAAAACTCATCAGTCTGTATAGTGTTGATTTGTGTCTTTCATTGCATGTAAATTATGCCTTGTTTTAAATTT